ACTTGTCCCCCTTGGCTTCTGACCCACTCATATATAATTTTTATTTATATACTCATGTTTCCAGTGCTGGAAATAAGAGGTGGGGGGAAGGGGGGTAGAAGAGCTATAGTCCCGGGACACACAATGTTATGGGCCGAGAAATAGTCAAGAGGACCTATCGGTATTTTTAAGTCATTTTTACGCTGTTGCACATAAAAAAGGCCACCAAAATAATGCAGCCCCCGGCCCTGTAAAGTCCAACAAGATTAAAGCAATAAAACTAACGCTACATAATTTAATTATAAATAAAAAATTTTTTTTTCAGTACCTGTTTTATGCTTCGCATAGTTTGAAAAGTTTAACATATTTGAAACAATTCTTCTTAGTAAGATGAACAAATGAAATAACTAAATCATTGAGTTACTGTGGAAATTTAATTAGCTAGATAGAAATTAACTAAAAACTTTAAATTACTTTGTAAGGAGGAAGCGGAACTGCTTAACAATATCGCTGATGATGTTTAGTGAGTGGGCTTTATATCTTTAACTAGTATTTTACAGAAAAAAGTAACTTTAAGTGTAAGTATAACGAGTTTGTAAGAATGGCTGAAGCAAAAATAATTAAAGTTAATAAACCAATTTCTAATACATTACATACATATAAATACATCCCTTATACATAAAAAATAAGATTATACTAATTAAATCTATAATATATTTACAAAACGTTGGCAAGTTAAAAAATATAAATTTAAAACATTTATTTTTGTAAACAAATGTTAGTTTAAAACATTTATAGTTTTGTAGATGTGACTCCGAGAATGAGCCATTGTATTAAAATAATTGTTCGTTTGATAGTATATTCTTAAAACAATTGATGCTAGAAATCTCAACGAAAACATAACAAAACTCAAATTATACGATTTTGAAAAATAATTCAACAGAATACTCTAGAACATTCGCTTGAATTCTTTAGTAATTTCAGTTATTTATTAATTGAACCAATAGAATTAGTTGTTCGTAAATTTGGCGGGTTTTTTGTGTTTGCGAATATTCTTTATTTATTTTTCCGCACTAAGATGTTTGACAACATTCAAGTTTATATAAGTTTCCATGTAAGTCCGTAAAACAAAATTTATGATAAAATAATAAATTTATTATTTTGCGGACAAACAAGGAAACATACATAAACTTAAATGTTCTCTAAACGCCTGAAAAATCTGGCCGGCTTTTCGCAAGTAAATATAATTTCCGTGGTCAATTATCCAATGCGATCGCACCCGCTTCCCGACCAAGCCTGATTCACATGTAGATGTATTAGGAAATGCTGTGTTTAAATTTAAGGGTGGATCAAAATCATAACTTAGCCTCAAAAAATCACTAAACACCAAAATCACCAAAATCACCAATGAAGTTGTGTTGGTGTACCAAACTTTGGTACACCAACACAACTTCACTTAATAATAAAATGCAACAACTTAAAGCGTTCTTGTCCTGTGATAAACCAGATATTATATCAGTAAGTGAAACATGGTTCAATGATAAATCAATTATGGATGTTGATGGGTACAACTGCTACAACAATAACAGACCGTTTGGTAAAAATGGTGGGGGAGTAGTGATTTATGCAAAATCAAAATTTATCACAACAAGTGTTAGTCATTTAGCATTATGTGACAATGGAATAGAGCAGATATGGTGTAGTTTGACCAACGGATCAGAACATTTATTAATTGGATATATTTACAGACCACCAAGTAGTCCAGAAAGCGTAAACACTAAAATCAATTCAGTGCTTGGAACAGCCAAAGGTCTAGTAGACAGAAAAAAATACACTGGATTAATTATAACTGGTGATTTTAATTATCCACACATAGAATGGGACAAAGATGGTGGAACAAAACTGAAACAAAACTGTGATATTATTATAAAATTTTTTGATAATTTAAATGAAAACTTTATTGAACAATGTATTTTTGGATCAACATTTCAAATATCTGACCATGAACCTACAAACACACTTGATTTACTAATGACAGATAACTGCAAAAGGATTAGAGATGCAGAAATTGGCGCACCACTTGGACCAATTGAAAAAGCCCATTATGTAATTCAATTCAAATATGACATGCAAGGTGCTGACACAATCCCTATACAATTCAATAGTAAAGATATAAATTACGAAAGAGGAGACTATGAAAAGATAAATCTTGATTTTAATTTAAAAAATTGTTATGATTTATTCAAGGATTTAAATGTGAATCATTGCTACAGTGCTTTTGTACAAAAATATAACGAGTTGATTGAATTGAATATTCCAAAGAAAAGAGCCAGGTATGATCAAAAAGTTGAAAAAGACTCATGCATAACAGACGAAGTTAAAGCTTTAATATGTAAAAAGCAAAATTTATATTTTTGCATTATTTATACTTATAAATAATGCAAAAAAAAATCCAAGACTATTCTACAAATACGCAAAAAAGAACCAAAAAAACATCGGTAAAATACAATCAATGAAAAAC